TCCTCCTCAACGAATAGCAAGTATACTCTCAAACTTCTTGATTCTTACGGTGACTCTTGGTCTGGTGGAGCATATCTAACAATTTATGGAAAGTATGATAACGTTGTATTCAAGAATTATCTCACCGCTTCTTCTCAAGAATCTTATACCTTATCTTTGTACTATGGTATCGAACAAGATGCAACTTGGAAGATGACTTCTGGATCTATTACAAATGGATGGACTGCTTATTCGTTCTCGGATAGTACTTGGTGGAATGCTACACTTGGCTCTGTTTCTTCTGTGTCTGTGTCTGGTAATCAGTATTTCCGTAAACAGTTCGTAGGTCTTTCTGATATGGCTGCTTATGATGTGCGGCTGCTCTATAAAGCTGGAGTGATTGCCTATATCAATGGAGTTGAGGTCTATCGTGACAATATGCCTGCTGGAATGATCACTTCCTCTACTGCTGCGACTGGAGAATACCCTGAGCTTGCCTATCGTGGATTCATTCGACCTGGTTCTGAAGTGGCTTCACAACAATCGATTCTGGCTGTTGAGATTCATTTCTTCACTCCTCAAACCACTGTCGATTTCAATGCATATCTTGCTATCTTGGCTTCTTCTACTACTGAAAGCAACTGTTTCATTTATGGAGAAACAACAAGTCTGAGTTCATCAACTGGAGCTAATGCAAATAACATGTTTGATTTCTCTAAGTATTCATATTCGTATACTAGTTCCAGCTCGCCTTCTGCAACTGTAACATATTCATTTGAAGGACCCAAACCCTGCATTAATGCACTCCGTGTATGGCCATATACCAATCCTTCTTATGCACCAAGTACTTTCATTTGGGAGGGATCTGACAACAATCAAGATTGGTCGAATCTGATTTTTGTGTCTGGAACAAATTATATATCAAAGAGTTATAAATTATTCGTAGGTGCATTGTACTCTTCTCTTTTCAATTATTATCGATTAAGGATGGTGGATAGTAACAATGATTATATCATGGCCTATGAAATACAATCTCTCATTTGTTCTATCCCAGCTGTGACCTCAATTACTTTTACTCCCAATACATACACTTTTTGGATACTGTACGAACAGGTACATATCCAACCCGATGTTACAGAATTCACTGCTTGTTCAGCGGCAAATCTGCCGGAAGGTCTTTCCATCGATTATACTACTTGCGTGATTTCTGGAATTGCGACTGAAACCGTATCAAATGCTACTATTACTGTGTATTCAGTTGTTCAGGGTAATACTTACACTGGATCGTTTACTCTTACAATTCAAAATTGTGCTGGTTCGATTCTCAATGTTCTTCGGACATATAAATTAAACGCCCACTATGAGAGCTTTGATATTAAAGATGCAGTAACTCATCAAGTTATCTTGTCTGTTGCTCCCAATTCAGGGCAACCGAACAATGAAGATTGGACAAGTATTGTATGCGCTACAGGACATAGGTATATTGTCACTGTTGGTACAATTCTGTCCTATTGGCAATCAGAGTCATATTTATATGTGAATGCTATATTGTATGAAAACGAATTTGAGACCATTCTGCGTTTACGATATGATTCGAATGTAGGCTTTTCTGATTCTCGGACTTTCAGTACCTATTATGCCATCCCAACGTATTCGGATTGGTATTACAAACATGGACAAGTTCCTACAAATTGGTACTCATCGACTTCCACAGAAGGATGGACCCAAGGAAACAAGAACAACTTCCCCTATTCATCAAATCAAATACAGTTGTACAAGAAGACATTCAATGTCGCAGATATCAGCAACATTGCTGGATTTGTTCTCTCTCTCAAGCACAAGTATGGTTGCATTGTCTATTTGAATGGATATGAAGCGTTCAGAATAGGATTGACGGATGCTACGATCAGTAATTCAAGTTATGCTGATAATATGTACACGGAAACTCTCTATCGTCAGATTTCTCTTCCCATCAATACCGTTCAAATTGGTGAGACTGCTGGTGTGAATTATATTCAGCAAGGATTGAATACCATTGCTATTGGACTCGTTGCTGCAAATGCAAACCAGAAGGAAGCGATCTTCGATTGTGCCCTTCGATTGATGGGTGAAATAAGGGAATCACGCGTCTTTGACTATTCAGTCACCTACAGTTTGATTGATGGAAATCCTCCAAGTGTTTTTTCACATTTCTTTGAGTATTCAATCTTTGCTCCAACATGTGAAGACAATAATCTGACTATTTCATTCAACAATGATCGACATGAATGGATTAATCAAGTAACTCTAAAGTTATATTATTTGCAAAATACTCAGCAACCTCGCCGGTTCGTGCTAAAGGCTCGCAATGGACATGATGATGAGTGGACAACTATAACGACTGTCACAGAACTATCGTGGTCTCAGACAGGTCAGGCACAAATTATAAACTTCCAAAACAACAAGGCATATAATCAGTATCGTTTTGAGAACATTGCTACTGGTGATACTACTAATTGTTTCTGGAAACTGAATGCCCTGGATTTAAAATCTGCTTTGACCACAATGACAATCCCTGATCTCTATTATCCGCCTACTACGATATATCAAAATATAGAAATGGGTGAAATCTATCCTAACTCTGAATACTACTACAACTTTAGTATTGAACCTGAACTACCTGATGGAGTTCATTTTGATCCTAATACTGGAATGATTTCTGGTACTGCCTCGACTCTAATGCCAGCTACTAGTTATACGATCACGGCCAATAAGCTTACTGGTGGTACTTCTGTGACTATATTTTCACTTTCTGTTGAAGTCTGCACTGGTGGTCGTTCTCTAATTACACTTGTGGCTCGTACTGACAATCATCCTGAGCAGTCCTCGTACAAATTGTATCAAGGGATTGGAACAACTGGAACTATTGTAGCATCGATCGATTCTTTCCCTGTATCTTCTGGTTTGAACTATGCTGATTTTTGTATGGAAAATGGAATTTACACTCTGGAACTGCTTGATTCTGCAAGTGATGGTTGGGCAAATCCTGCCGGTTTTTATTTGACTGTGGATGAGGGTGAAATGATTTTCGATTTGGGTCAGGTTCCAAGTGGAGTCGATTCTGTAAGCACGATGTTCTCTTCCTATTTGCCGTTCCAGATTGAGCATTCAGATTGGAAAGTCAGCTATGAATATGTGGAGAATTGGAATTCAAGGGATTTTGCCGATAATGCTTGGGCATCGACAAAAGCTAACCATATAGGTTCCAATTTTGAAATCACTACTTACATTCGTAAGGAGGTGAACATTATTGATATTGCCAATTATCATGTGCTGAATGTTCGTGTGAAATACTCAGGAGGAGTTGCTGCCTATTTCAATGGCAAAATAGTAGCTCGCTTTAATCTGGATGAGAATTTCAGTTCGGAGTCAATGTCACTCGCTGTTCATAATGCAAATACATTTTCTAAATTCCATGTTATCCTGAGCACTGTTGGAGGAATGAGTGGTAAAAACATCGTGGCATTTGAAATCCATCGCCCTATTGGTCAATCATCGTCCTCTCCTGTTGTGTTTGATGCTACCGGTGTTTTTGGAGTGAATGACTGCTCGATTGTTGTTGACTCGTTTGCTAATATTGACGGATCTACTGCTAGTTCCACCAATCTTGAAGATTTCCTGGATCTGAATCCCGTAACATTTGGTTTTCAGCCCAATGAAGTTGGGAGCTATCTTTACTGGGAAGTGGAAAACCTGGAAGGCACCAAATTCAACAGTATTGGAATCCACGCTGCTTATTCTGTCACTGAGTTAGGATTCTCGCTCTATGTCCGAAATAATTCCACTCAAGAGTACACTTCCGCATTGGCTGTCTTGGATCAACGACTTCTCGCTTTAACTCGCAATGTTTGGGCAGTTCCTGTTGGAACTGCTGGATTCAGCAAATTTCGATATGAAGTAGATGTTCCAGCATCTGATGGTGTTTCTGTGAATTCGTATGTTCTTCAGTATTGCAAAGCAAGTGGGAATGGAACTTGTCCTGCAGATGGGAAGTATCCTTCCGTAGGAGAAGGTGAGATATCTCCTGCTGAATGTGAATATGGATATAGAGGTTATTTATACCGAGTATGCACCAATGGACAACTAGGAGAAGTCAAATATGAAAAATGTATTCAGAAAATCCCAGAAAAACTGGAATACTCCGCAGAAATCTTCAAGTTAGCATTAGGAGCAAATGTCACAATCCCATCTCCGAGTTATGTGAATATTATTGAAAGGTTCTTTTTGGAAGAAAACCAGGAACTGCCTGTGGGATTGTCACTCAATATGATAACTGGCGAAATCACTGGAATACCTTCAACTGAACTCAATTTGACAGTCTTTACTGTCTATGGAGAAAACCAATCGGGTGTAACATTCACAAAGATATATATTTCTGTCAATCAGGGAGTTTGTGAAGCAGAGGGAAGCTTTGCAACTACACGTGCAGGCGAAGTGGCTGTTTTTGATTGTGGACTCCTTGGTTCTTACGTGGGAAAGATAAAGAGAGAGTGTAAGTTGGGAAAAGCGAATGGAGAATGGCAGAAAATAACCGGATTTTGCATGCCTGTTTCTGTCATCGTTATTATCGTAGTTGTGATTGTACTCATTATTGTTGTTAATGTGGTCGTGATTGTATGTGTAACAAAGAAGAAAAACAGTGGTGTAGTATCAAGGAAGGCAGATTACTCAAGGATGCCATCTAAGGTTTTGCCTAAAGCTGTGGAAAATGTAGTTTGCAAAACTGAGCCTGTAGAAGTGTCCGGTATTGTAAAGGTTTTATAAAAGCTATCTTTCTATGTGAAACGATTCTAAGTGTTCAAGGTGTATAAATCACTTGTTTGATGAAAAAACATCCATATCCATATCCATGTATATATATATTTATAACATATTACAATTCATATTCCCTCATTCCGATACAATTCACAACACACATTACTCATGTCTCCCTCTCCTTCATTTCCTCACTTTTCTATATTCATGACATAGCAGTCCAATCATTATTGAAGTAAAGGACGAGGACGGCTACTAAACAACAGTTTTTCGGTGATTACTGCCTCAACGATGTATTCTCTCTGAATCGTTTCTATAGAATCACCTGCTCCTGACTTCATTAAAACTAATCAAAAACAAAGGAGAATAGATACTGGCAATAGGCTTATTCAGCTTTACTACAGTTCCTTCACACAGATGATTTCCAATCGTTAGTGCAGGCTTTCCCTACAAAATAAAGAGACTCGCGATCAAGTACGTTGATCCATTCGATTGTTCCCAAATTCCGAGAGTTCAGAGGTCCTCCATCAATATCATGCAACGTTCCTTGCAATTCTACGAATACCCACTATTTTTCACCTCCTCACTCTTCTCGTACTTTTTCCTTGTCACTACCAGGATAACGAATCGGAATACAAATCATTCCTGATAATACAGAATTTCTTGTGAAAATGAAACAACAGCTCATAAATGCTTTAATTCTTTACAGAGTATTTGCTATATACAAATACACTACTCTTTAGAAGAAACGATCCTTCAATGCTGTATCTTGGATCGAGAAGAAATGTAAACTCTTCAATGACTATATGCGTCAGTGTGGATTAAAAGCTGCAGTGTACACACCGATTTACTCCTCAATGATAGAGTTTCTGTTTCCGGTGGTATTGATTCGGCGGTAACACTTGGATTGATGAAACATGCCATGGAAATGGAGGATTCCCCCATTCAGCGCATCCTTGGCATCTCGCAGCCAATTCACAGCTCCGCATGGGCATACAACCGAGCCATGGAGTGTGGAAAAGCGCTAGGCGTGGATATCATCGTCGTGGATCAGACTTCCGTCTTCGATTCGCTCGTTCCTCTCTTCTTCTCCCCTTTTCATTCCTAGAAAACCCTCGTCGACACCGCAACAGGAATTATCGGAAACGATTTTTCCTCCGGACAGCTTCGCTCCTACATGGCATCCTCTTCCGCGCCTCGCCTCATCCCTAGCGCACGCCCGTGGGCTACTACGTGTCCCAGCTGCTCAGCCAGTCGGGCACTCCCTGCGTGGTGATGGGCACGGGCAACCGCGACGAGGACGGCTATCTGGGCTACTTCTGCAAGGCGGGCGACGGCGTCGTCGACGTTCAGCTCATCGCCGATCTCCACAAGAGCGAGGTCTTCGCGGTGGGCAGAGCGCTGGGCGTGCCGGCCAGCATTCTGGAGTCTCCGCCTTCGGCGGATCTGTGGGAGGGACAGACGGACGAAGAGGAGCTGGGAGTGTCGTACGATTTCGTGGAATTGTTCACGGGGTGGTTCTTGCCGCTAGGAGAGGAGGAGAGGAGGAGATTTGTGGAGGGGCTGGAGGAGGAGAGTCGGGAGGAGTGGGAGAGATGCAGAGCGATCTGTGAGAATGTGCATCGAAGGAATAGTCACAAGTTGAACGGTCCCAAGAATTTGAATGTGCTGTGACGTGGTTCATGAGTGTTTGTGATGTTTGAGACAACAAGGAATCAACAGGAAATGCTGGTTTTTCCTTCATTGCCATACTTTCCATTCAAATTCAGCCTACAAATCCACACACAACGCATCAATCCAATGCAAACTCACAACGCATCCCAATCCATTCACCCCAAACAAGCACACACGACCAACCCCTCATCCACTTCCCATCGAATGTATCAAACAAACAAACCACTTAGAACCAGAGTTGGAGATTACGATAATGAGAATGATAATCTACAGTTCACGCTTCTATTCGCCCATACAATGATAATAGCGGCGATAATTCCGTACAGCTTCAGCTTCTGCTTCAGCATTTCGCACTTCAATTTCTGCGCATCCGAGCGGAACAACTACTCCTCACGCCTTCCTTCCTCCTCTACGTCGGCTGTATCCGCCAGAGCATCGGTCTTGTCCACGATAATGTCCAGCTTCTCACCACGATCGATGATCTTGTCTGCGCATCATCACCTCTCCAACACCCTCCTACCGATGTTGTCGATCATTACGCCCTTCACTGCATCCAGTTTCTGCTGCACGCGCGTCGCAGCGTCGGCGTTGGGGTCGTTCCACTTCTTCTGCACATTACACACTCATCGTAGCCGCACCATCAGCTGGGCGATCGTAGAGGAGAAATCCGACATAGCAAACGCCTGAGCGGTCTTAGCACGGTCTCTAAGAGTTGGAAACGCGTAATCGAGCCTACCCATAAGTGGCAGTGAAATTCTCAGCCATTTCAGTCAGGAAATTCTAGGAGTGATTATTACTATACCGAAATCCATACAAAAACGATTCGCAACGGCATATCTCTGTCTGTCATGGCAACATACGCAATTCCTCTCTGGTTGAGTACAGAGAAATCGTATCGGCTAAGTCTGATGCATTTTGAATACACTTTACCTATCATAGTGGAAGTTTTGTTTCTGTTGAGCAGGGAACTTCGTAAGAAGACTCTGCGTGATCTGAGCAAAGTTACCGGTTGATTTCTTATCAGCGGTACCTAAAGTTTCCTCGCAAAGAACCACATCTCTAGGACTTCAATTCCTTGCATTTTCACTACTTTCTGCTGATCGTGGCATAAATAATGGACTTCTGAGTAGACATTCCTGGTGTTAAAACAGAATTAGAAAAAGAGATAAGATGGATTATAGGCAAAAGTGACCGATAACCGCGATTCCTGCAGCATTTCAGATTTCCGCACAAAGTACAGGAGATTTGGCTGATTCGTGAGTATCAGTATGAAGTAGGTGGATATTAGCAACAGAGGAGTGTATCATTTTGTCAAAATAATGCCTAGTTGTTCTGATGTTCTTATTTGCCTTTTCAAGGATCTTCCTTTTCCTGTTATTTTTTGTTCATTCTTCATAAGAACCCATTTTTACCTCTTATCAATCCATTTGCTCATAAATAACGCAAATATCAGAGAGAAATACATTCTTTTTCCGTATTCTAAAGAATAACGGTTATTCCTTAATTCTGGCAACACTTTCTTGTGTAAATGGCATTCTATCCTAAACTACTTTTATTTTTCCTGAAATGGATTTGTTTTCGAACATGGGATATTTCTACAATGGAGCCTCTTGGGTAGAGAACAGCGACTCGGGAGCAAGTGTTTTTGGCTTCAGATGGAAAAGACGAGCTTCATGATTGGATATCTCCAGTCAATGATTTTCCTGTACATTCCTTCGCTTTTACTTCTGATTCTTCATTCTCTGATTCTTTGTTTTCTCGTTGTTCCCATGATACAGACTCTGTCTACTCTACGGATGTGTCTATTTGCTTTTCTTCTCCGAGTGTTGTATCTGATTCACTTTCTGAAACTGATTTCACAAAGGAGAATACTTGTTCGTGCGACGAAGGGGATCCAATTCCTAACATCGCCTTGCCGCCATTACCTATCAGTGGCTTGGTTCATTCCGAACAATTAGTGCCACATCCTTTGGACGGATCTTCTTCAGACTTCGATTCTGAACCTAAACCGTTAAATACCAGTATTACTCATTATTCTGATCAAGAACGCTTACTGTGTAAGCAGAGGTATGCATTGTCATTCATTTTTGAATTGTAGACGCCTTTATCGTAAGCAAATTCTAAAGAAAAAGCGTGAGCTAGGGTTGATTAACATAGCGAATAGTAAAGTGATTCGTTACAAGCAGAAGCAGACGACTGCGATGCAAAAGAATCGCTGCAACGGAAAATTCGCTAGTGTTTTGTGGTCTGTTTGTAAGAAACACTCGAGTTGTGTGAAATGCTCATTCCTTCGTTGTGAAGGCTCACTTCGGACACATGATAATCCCACTTCTGCCAAACAGCTTCAATCACTTCTCTTTGGCATCTCTCCGCAGTGCATACACAATAGAAGGAATCGGCTCCACCAGCTCCAGCCACCATGCAACCCATCACCCAATCGATCTTAGCCGTTTCTTTCATCAATTCGTACACGTTTTCTGGAACCAAGCTCGTTTCAGAAGCAACTCCGATCGCGTGAACCGTCTCCAACTGATGTCGAAATGCTTCCTTCAATCGATTCTCATCGATTTCTTCTGTCAGCAGGGTGATCAATGCTTCATTCCCCTGACGATAATCCTCCCATAATCGCTTTTCGTCCGATGAACTCTGCTTTCTCCATTCTCCAATTTGCTTGACGAGGTGAGGAGTACTCGATGAAGCCGATCCTCCATAACTGAACAACACTGTGAGTGAATCGGGAAAGTGAAAAGGCTCAAATCTGCATTGGAATGGCATGGAAAGGCATCGCTGATATACGCAACTACCGAACACACCTGTGATTATATCGTAGCCTGAGCCAATTCGCCCCTGCGCTTGATGATGAGCCTGAAGACTCAATTTACAAACGAGTTCTCTGTCAGAATAAGAAAGGGGTTCTCTATTTTCGAAAAGGCAATGAATGCAAACGAGCAAACACCGAAAGAGAATAAAAGGGAGGCTATGGTGGCGATCACTGTCGTGGATGATGAACCGAATCCTGTCTTTGTTTGCTTTCCATCTTTCATAAAGTAAAAGCCTCCCTCGTTTTTCAGAGTAAGCGAGATATCTTGGAGTTGCGAAGGAAGACCGAATTGATGAAGTACACATCGAAGCGATTCTAACAGAAAGGGATTGTCTCTAGATGAAAGATTAAGGTCGATAAAACTTTGAGCACTGGATCTGCAGGTCTTTGCTAACATAATAAATCCATTCGTCATGTAAATCGGGACTTGTCACAGTAAGGCGTAACCCTTTGGAAGCATAGCATTTGGTTTGAACATATCCTGATGTGTGAGCACTTACCGCTATGCTCAATCCACGATTCGACTCATCCAGAATAAGATAACCTCCAGAAAGTAAACTCTTCCCTGGAACACTAATGGAATATGTAGATGATGCGGGATTATTCTCACACAATCCATTAGATATAACTTCTCTTATCTCTTTTACAAAATCACTCTCTAGCAAATGAATTTACAAATTGAATGTAGTACTATCATTGTTCTGCGATTCAATACATATTTCACTATCCATTTCCTTGTTTGTAACAGATCAACTCTAATAGCTAATTTCAAGTTTGTTTATGTGTACATTCTAATTCAAAAAAGTATCAACTAATAAATTATAGAAAATAATTCAAGTCTGACAGAATAGTATGTTTTTCTATTCCTATACAGTTTCCAATTCGATCCATAGCTCTTCAACCCATTTTCAATCATTACTGCACGCAGAACCCCAATCGAGTGCCTTTTCATGGTAAACCTTTGCTATTTATTCATTCCGTCTCATCCTATTCCCCTTCCTAATTCATACTCAATGAATCAAACCTTCACTATTTTTTCTACAAATGCTTTCTGCTTCACGACTCGCCTGCTTTAGTGCCAGACTGGGATTCTCTACGATCCGCGGATTTGCTTCTCGCGCCGAAAACCCTCAAGTGTTCATGGACTTTTCCGCTGGAGGAAAGGACGTGGGTCGAATTGTTTTCGAGGTAGGAAACGATTGAAATATTGCGCTAATGCAATAGCTCCGTGCTGACGTAGTTCCCAAAACTGCGGAGAATTTCCGTTGCTTGTGCACCGGAGAAAAGGGAAAGGGCAAGATGGGAAAGCCTCTGCACTACAAGGGCTGCACACTGCATCGTATCATTCCCCAGTTTATGTGCCAGGTACTTTCCTTCTTTCTTTCCAGCGAATCCTAGGGAGGCGATTTCACTCACGGAAACGGCCGTGGAGGTGAGTCGATCTACGGCGAACGCTTCGCCGACGAGAACTTCACGCTGAAGCACACAGGTCCTGGATTGCTCTCCATGGCGAACTGTGGTCCGAATACGAACGGATCGCAGTTCTTTATCACAACCGTGCCTTGCCCGTGGCTGGATGGACACCACGTGGTGTTTGGAGAGGTGAAGAAGGGAATGAATGTACTGAAGGCTTTGGAGATGTACGGAACGGAGAGCGGAATGCCGATGTATGGGTGGCCTGGATGGAGTGAGTTTGTAGGAAGACGATTGCTATTACGGATTGTGGTGAACTCAAAGAGAAGATTTTGATTGTTTGTTTTATACGATTTGGCGGCGTAGGGCGTACAAGCTTCCTGGGAATTGTTTTGAGGGTTCAGGTTGATCGATTCCATCATACAGAGGATCTGCATGCGTAATGAAAATCGAATTTTCGATATTCATTAGCCGATTCCCGCGATAATCCCCAATGTATCAGATTATTTCCAATTCTTATTGTGACATGAGCGCTTATATTGATACGGAGAATATTGATATGCAAAAGTTTGCTTTTGAACAAATTCAGGGTCTTGACCTCCCAGTTTGGAAAGATGTGAAATCAGTCGATGAAATCAAGATCGATAGAGTCAGTGGTAGACAGTAAATCAAGATACATGACAGCTAGGAGCAATGACGAACATTATTTTCAAGGTCGTTGTAGTTGATAAACCCTGCGAGCCCTTGCTGCTCCGTGCCTATGGAAACTGTACGGGATAATAGAATCCAATTATCTATAGGCACGGACATTTTTATGAATCGCGAGGCAGAGATTAACTATTTCAAGATATTAAGCGACAACAATTTTGGTGTTCGTCTGATCAAGGTGTTCCCTGGTGGTCGTCTTGAGGCGTGGAGAGAAGGTTACAATGTAAGTGTGCTTTCGGTTCCCTGATGCGCAGCCGCTCTTAGCGCCTGAAATGCGATCGGAAGCCATTTCGATGCAGATCGCCAAGACCCTTGCAGTAATGCACAACATCAAGGTACAATCTCCTGCTTTCCCTCATCGCAGCTAGAGAGCTACGGCCTGGAAGAATACCGCCAGCACTTTGCATGGTGGTACGACAGCGTGAAAAAGCACTGTACCCGTTTTTGTCGGGATTCACTCGCAGGCACCGGCGATCGCTTCAAAAACGTTCGATTCGACTTGATTCCGCAGGAGATCGACAGCATGTTCGCTCTGGCGGAGGAGGAGGAGTTCGAAGTGGTGCTTGGACATCACGATTTGCAGCACGGAAACATTCTGCACAACGCCGAAGGCGATATGATCTTCGTGGACTTCGAGTCTTTCTCTCGGCTCTTTTTCGATGCGTAGATACACAGGGAAAATCCCAGTGGCTGCGGACATCGCGAACCATTTCTGCGAGTGGATGACGGACTACAATCTGCCCGATTCGCACATTCTGCGGCTCGAATGGCATCCGAACGCGAAGCAGCAGCACGATTTCGTGAAGACCTATCTCCAGGCGCGGTTTGGGAAGGAGCCCAGCGAGGAGGAGGTGGAGAAGATGTGCGTGCAGGTGCACAAGCATGAGCTGTTCTCGAATATGCATTGGTTCCTGTGGGGATTGCTGCAGTGCCCGATTAGCACGATTGACTGGGACTACTGGGGCTATGCGCTGAATCGATGGGAGCATTATGTGCGTGTGAAGAAGGAGTTTGGAAGAGAAGCTTTGCCCATTATGAGCGAGTAAGCTGGTTGAAGAAGCAATAGTTGTTCTGTGTAGTTTGGTTGTTTGTTGGAATAAACAGAAGAGAGTACAGGCAGAGATGTGAATAGGGAGGATAGAGATAGAGAATCCTAAAAAACAAGCATTCTTCTTGAGGAATCTGTATTACTCAGACTTTGCATGGACCACTCTATAGTACTGTCTTCCTTCCTTCTTTTTGGTTTCTTTTTTCTCCTAACGCTGAAAAAGAAAAGTCAAATCCTACTTCTTGCTCTGCCCTGAGTAGGGAATGCGCAATATTGCAATTTATCAGCATGATGATCGTTACCACGATTAATAAAAACGGACCTGTAATGTGATAGTTGAGAAAGCACCAGAAAACGATGCGTTCCATCATATTATATTTATCCCACTCAATGGCGGTAGCATCCAGTTCAGCCATAGCGTACAAATGAAAAGAATGTGAATAACCAAAAAATGGAATTGTAAATATCGAGACAATCTCGGCGAAAAAACGGTCAACTCAGAAAGCAGATCAAACAATACAATTATGGATTCAATTATCAAAGAAGTGAATTTGGCTTATGATGTGCTCGAAAAGGAGAATGTCAATCAAATCGACGCTGCTTTATTTGCAGAGGAGCATATCCACAGTGTGATCGATCTATTTTCGAATAAGGATTTGACGGAAGCATTGCAATTGCTTGTATTACTTGTGTTTGATGATTCCTTTGTAGCATCAAGAGATTTTCTCTGCCATCCAAACAGAGGATTGTATTGATGATATGTATTCGATTCTAAGTGGAAGTGATGTGGGTTTTCAAGTAGCTTGACTTAGGGATAGATATCTGAGGAGGATTTGTATATTAATAAGGACAGAGTGGCAGAATTGGAGAAGGTGATTCAAAAGGAAGTGGCGAATGGAGGCAAGTCGTTTATTTTGCAGTAGATCTCGCTTATTTGTCAGTGATCTTTTACTAGATTCGGACCTAAAGGAAATCATCAAAAGGATGTAGTGAAGGTATTCATGTTGGGTTCCTCACAAGCGTAGATCGTTGCTTCTCGCCTCTCCTACCCCTGCATGGTGATCCACCGCGAAGACTTCATTGCTCGCTTTGCTGTGCATTCCTATAGCACATTGTGATAGCTAGAAAGAATGCGAATCTCGCGTTCGCAATGCGTTTGCCAAGTGCCAATCGCTGCAATCGAGAGTGAAAAGCCCCGTGATTCTGTACATCGAAGACATCGACGGGTAGTCTTCCTTGTTCGCTTCGATCCCAGCATGCTTCCCAACGCCCACGCGAGTCCCGTGGAGCAAATGAAGCGCAAACTGGTCGAGAAAGCGCTCTGCGAGCAATTGAATCAGCTCAGCCAACGCGCTGAAAGCAGCAGCGAATCGTATCCGTAGAATGAAAACCAATTCAATGAGTCGCAGAATCATCGTCGTGATCGATTCCGAGTTTCCATCCACCCTCAAAAACGAACTGCACAGCCTGCAAAGCGAGCAGATTCTCTACCGCGTTCCCGGTATTTCTCTTTCTTTATTCTCCCCATTCACACCGCAGACGAAGCCCAACGCCGTTGTTATCTCGAGCATTTGCTCTCCATCTACGACAATGCGCTCTCCGAATACGCCATCAACCGCTTGTTGATCCACTCCTCCGCGTTCTCCCTCACGCAGCTCCGCTTATTATTCGACCACGCCTTCTTCTGCATGCTGCTCTGCAAGGACAACGCGATCTCCGTCGATTCCTTCGACCTCGCCTCCGTCTCCAAGGCGTCGATGTACCAAACGCTCAGTCGCTACATTCAGGACCGAATGAACGGCGCGAAGTTCGCTTGCATCGCCGATTCCACGCTCTAGACCCGTCGTTCCCAGCATTCCCGACTCCGTTCTCCTCGCCCTGCTCGACAAAGAAAAACCTTCCTTTTCGGTCGTCGATGTTTCCCGCGATATCGATTTCTGCAAAGCCGTTTCGCGTCCTGACGACGAAATCGAGCTCCTCAACGCCATGACGAAGCTCCTCCGCGAACGAGACGATCAGATTCGAAAGCGAGACGCGGAGAATTCGGCCTCCGCTTCGCGCGATCCCATCGAGCGTCGCTCGGGCGAACCGTACCAAATGCCGCTTCCCTCGTCCCACCCGACCAATGAAACATCGAGCCAGAGCGCGGAGGCGTCGAAGCCGGCGCAGCGCGGATTGAGTTCTCCGAAATTCGGACAGATTTGGATGGCGGAGACGATGAACACGAGCGCCGAGCGCTATCGACAGGAGTTGGAGGCGCAGAATCGCGCGGAATCGGAGCGATTGAAGGAGGCGGAGAAGCGAAACAGGGAGGAGAGAGAGCGATTGCATCGGGAGGAAGAGGCGCGGCGACGGCAGGACGAAGAGCGTCGCAAGGCGGAGTTCGAAGCGCAGAAGCGGAAGGAGGAGGAGCGGCAGCGGCGGATCGAAGAGCGAATCGCGGCGGAGCAGGCGGAACGCGAGCGAAAACTGGAAGAGCAGCGACGCAAGCGCGAGGAGGCGGAGCGGAAACGCCGCGAAGAAATCGAGCGGCAGGAGGAGGAGCGAAGAAGGCAGGAGATGGAGGAAATGGAGCGGCGCGAAGCCGAGAGACAGGCGTTGGCGGAGAAGCGGCGGCAGAAAATGCAGGACGAAATCGATCGGAAAGAGCGGGAGAATCGGCGCGAAGCGGAAGAGCAGATGAAGCGATACGAGGAAGAGCGGAAGCGGATTTATGAAGCGTCGATGGGGTTCGATCGAAGCGCGTACAACGAATCGACGTCGCGATTGGAGAGCAAATTGTCGGCGGAGAAGAAGGCGATGCTGGAAGACCAGCGGAAGCGCGAAGCGGCGGTGAAGAAGGCGAGGCAGCAAGCGATGGAGCGACTGAATCAAGAGAAACTGCAGAGGAAAATGGAGCAGGACACGTATCGGAGATTGGCGGAGCTGCGGCGACCGGCGCCGAAAACGAAGGAGGAGAGAGATGAGCGGATTGGGAAGGCGAAGGAAACGATTGGGGATGGGAAGAAGCGACTGGAAGCGTTGATGCGGATGAAGGAGGAAGTGAAGCGATTGATTGAGGAGAAGAAGAGGAAGGAGGAGGAGGAGAGGAAGAAGAGAGAAGAGGAGGAGAGAAAGCGGAGAGAAGAGGAGGAGAGGAGAAGAAGAGAGGAGGAAGAAAGGCTGCGAGAAAAGAGAAGAGCGGAGGAAGAGGAATTGCGGAAGCAGAGAGCGATCGAAGAGGAGAGGAAGCGGAAAGAGGCGGAGGCGCGACGAGCGGAGTTTGAGAAGGAGAAGGAAGAGCGGAGGAAGATGAAGCAGGCCAAAGCGAAGGCGATGGAGGAGCGATTGGAGAAGGACGAGCTGCGATTGCTGGATTGTCGAGAGAAGCTGCTGGCGTTGAGGAAGTTGATGAATGAAGTAAAGCGAAGTCAGGGATGAGTGAATGAGTGAGTGAGTGAATAAATCATTGAATGAATGAGTGAATGAATGAATGAATCAAGGAAATCTGTTTGCTACAAACATTCCAAATGGTACAAAGAGAAGATCGAATCGCTGAATGGACCGATTCATCGGGTTTGCTCTCACTTTCAATCACCAATCGATTCCCATCTTGATAGACACAAATTCGCTTCGACGGAATCACAAACTTCGAGCCCTCCACACACACATCCTCAAACCCCGATCGCCGCAACCTTCGCATCACTTCCTCCTCCATTCCTTCCTTCGTCTCCGGCAGCGCCGCCAACGCTTCCCCTACCTCGAACTCGTTCTCCTTCACCTTCTTCACCCGTCTGCACTCCCCATTCCCCACTTCCCTTCCTTCCTTCTCCACAAACGACGCCACGATCGGAACTCGCTCTTCTCTCTCCACCTCCACTTCCACACTCTTCCCATTCGACAGCAGCTCCACCAAAACGCCCTCCACACGCACGAACTCCTCCATAATCACCGATTTCAACGCCTTGGAAGGTTTCATCAGCTCGATTACGCTCAACGCATTGCTCGGAAGATGCACTTGATGCAACAAATCCGCGTTCGGAAGTAGCGCTTTCAGCACGCTGCAGTTCGCACAAGACGACAAGGCGATGATCTGATAGCGATCCGATTGAGCGAAGAACGAAGCAGGGAAGAAAATCTTCATCAGAGGGTCGGGTAGAATGATGAATGGATTGTTTCGAAGTCGACCGGGGAATGGAGAGAACACGAAATCTTTGCAGTTCGGATCGAAACAGAGAAACGGAGAAATGCCTCCGATTCTACGATTGATGAGAGGGACGAGAATAGTACAGTCGATGTTTGAGTTCTTCGTTTAAACAGTCGGAATTGTAGTAATAACTGCGGATCGCCTTCTGAAAGCAATCTTCTCCATCGCCTATTTCTCACTCTTTCTGTTGAGTTGGCTACTTAAAATCAGAACGGAAGAACTTTTGTTCTTCCCCGCCCCTCCACTCAAACAAAAATCGCAGAATTCGAATAGAAGATCGTTGATTTCGCTGAGAAACAGAAACGAAGTATGCTCATCTTGTTTCCCTACCTTTCATTCATTCTTCGTTTAGCTCACGAATAAACGACTTCAATCCATCAATTTCTTCGAGGGTTCCATTGTCTCGACTGCCTCGACCCGCTAGCAGAACATACGAGGAACGAAGCAATGCATCTGTGTTAAATCGCTGAGAGATCGAGGAGGTGTTAATGCGATTGCTGCTGATATAGAGGAGATCATTTATGCCGCTTTTCGAAAATTGGGAGCGAAACGCCCAAATGCAGTCGCTGATGTTTTCACCGCTTGGAAGGCAATCCACGGCGACATTTTGATCGATTTCGAGTGTTTCACCAAAGTGGGTACAAACAACTGTGTTCGCAACTACGCAATGAATGGTGGGTAATGGGGAGAAACCTAGTTTCACGTCAGAGAGTGTCATTGGAGAATAGGCTTCGAATAACTCAGAGGAGTATTCTGGAAATCGATGAATAACCGAGGAAAGATCTTCAGTTGGCAATCTCTGAGGAAGGGTTGCTAAAATGTGACAGAGATTCTGGGCAATCTATTCGGAACAGAACTTCACAATCAATTACAGAGTTTAAAGTCTGTGGAACATAAATTCGACCGGAAAAGTCGGTTTCTCGCAAAATAATAGGCAGCAGTAAATAACTCCCCACATGCGAAATAAAAATAGCATCCACAATGGACCAGTCGATCGACGCAAGATTAATGGATATTGGAAACAGAGAGGAATTGATAAACAATTGTCCGTTGATATTTACGATTGGATCAGCAAGTTGGTCAATATCAAATGTTGACAGCGCGCTGGATTCCCGAAAAGACTCTAGAGAAGGAAGAAACCGATTCCAATAATCAAAATCCCATCCTGTATCCAAGATATAGAATTTCCCATTGTATCGAAACTCATAACAGGGATGAAAGGAATCCACAGCATGACTCACCTACATAATCACGTGTCCAAACGACCAAACTATTTTCGACATGCACCTCTCTAAAACAAACAAGCAAGACAAATAACTAATGAATGATTGCGCGTACAACTGACTTGACAGCAGCCGCCACACTCGGAGCGATGGAAGGAGCCACAGTCGGTACCAAGGAAGGAGCCAAGGTGGGAGCCTCGGTGGTAGCGGGCGTGCTCAGCGTAGAAATGACGTCCTTCAGCTGGATGGCCGTGAAAACAACAGCAGCCACAACGCCGATGTAGAAGAGAACCCAAGCAAAATAATAGCGACCCCGCGTGGAGGAGAAGATGGAGCCCTGAGAGGACGCCTTCCTGGCTCGCTCTCTCTTGGCGATGAGGACGAAATAGAACGCGGGGATGGCAAAGTTGAGGAGAATTCCGCACATGGATCCCGTAACACCGAAGACTTTATCGAGAATGGGGAACACGATGGCGACGAAGGCGGACAGGAGAGTCCAGAAAAAGGCCTCTAGGTAGCGACGATGCGCAGGACGAGGCTGTTTGAAACACAACTTGTCGAATGTAACGAGGGCGGCAAAAGCGAGAGCAGGGTAGGAGAAGAGGACGACAAAGGCGTAAGCGAGTTTGACGACGTTAAGATAACCAACTTTATCGTTAGTGAAGTTCGTCAGCAAATTGGGAGCGATTTGATCGCCATAGGCGAGATAGCCGAAAGCTCCCACGATGAAATAGATGGTTCCGCAACTAAGGAAGGCAATCCAGTTCACACGGACCATTTTGTTGACCTTGTTGGAGAACTTGCTGGATGACGGGAATTTCAACTCGGAGGTCATCTTGGGAATGTTCACGTGGCAACACATCGAGGTGAAGAACACAGAAATGGAGCTCACCAAACCCGGAATGGTGTCTGGGAACCACTTATAGGTAAGTCCTCCTTTGATCAACTGACTGATTCCCTTGCCCGTAGAAATAACAACAAACAGACAAATGCAGAATACTGATGCCGCCGAGGTAAATCGCAAAGCATCAATAGTCGGAATACATAGAATAGGGAATCCAACTAACATAGCAATGATAAGACTGAGCCACGGTTTCCATGTGCTCATTGATTCAGCAGATACATTACCCCAAAGAACAACTAGATCAGCTGCCTGGTCGAACAAAATGATAAAATAGGCAATTGATATTCCAAAGTCAAATATGATCATTGCGATATCACCAACAAGACCCACTGTCTTATTGTTAAGTTTGTTTCCCACTGCGCCATAAGAATCAGCAGAAGTGTATACAGAGGCCATACTCAGCATGTTCGCACCTTCGAGAGAAAGGTAAAGCGAGATTGCCAGAATGAGGAAGGATCCAAGCAAACCCGATTTAGCGATTGTTGAGGGGATCGATAGCACTCCAGCGCCAATGATAGTATTCATCATGTTAACGACCGATGAGCTCAGAGTAGCTCCCGTTTCGGAAATAGGACGAGCATCGGGTTCTGGAACCGGAGTGAACTTAATATCAATGGTATTATCTCCTTGTTCAACATCATTAGGTTTCTGTTCATTCTCCACTTTTATTGTTTCCATTTCGGGTTTGAGAGATACAACAGGCTGACTATTTGTTGCCATGGACTTTTTATTCAGATATTAAGAAACTAATGCAAAACCTTAAATCTTCTCGTTTTCTCCTTTTTAATCCGCCGCTATATTATTGGCTAACAAAAATTGTTCGTCGAATCATTTGTCTGCACCTATTTCCGCCCTTTATTAATTATTCTCATACAACCCTTTTCTCCGGTCGCCGAGAATCTCTTCTATTTTGTATGGCTATGAATGACAGAGCTCCTTTGTTTTCAGACAGAGAAAGTGTGTTTCGTGAAAAAACAACCAGCTACATTGCAGTTATAATGTTTCTTGCTACTGTGGTTTGATGAGAACGAGTTTTCGACACGATTAGTGAAAGGGACACAAAAAGGGTTATTAAAAAGAAAACCTCTTGATTCTTGTGTTTTCCTAAGATATCGAACGTTTTACGCGTGAGCTCAACTATACCAGATTATTTTTTACTTGTGCTGTAAATTCCATGGCTAAGAAGAGGGGCCTTTCAGCTGATGAAAAAAAGCAAAAGATGCTCAATGCAATGCTTGCTGGCGTATTTTTACATTCATGTGTTGAATCCTCTAGAAATCTGTATATAATATGAAGGAGATTGAGAAAATTGCAAAGGACCAAGGAATTTGTAATTTGTATTTTGGCGGGATGAATCGTAGCTACTATGATCGTGAAAGATGTGATCCAGGATATGCTGGATGATGATATGATTATCCAGGAAAAGGTTGGAACACAAGTCTTGTACTGGATTTTCCCGAGTCAGTCCTATATTCTTGTTTGTGAGTTTTCCTTTACTTGACTGTAGAAAAAGCGCAAATTGGACACTCTTCGGTCGTCGGTCGCAACCCTCCGCGAAGAAAAGGAAAAACTAGATGAAAGCATCGCCAAGGCCCGAGAAAGCAAACCAGATAGCGTAAAAGAGTTGTCGAATGTGTAATAATAGGAACATCGTCTCGAGCTTGTCGAGCAACACGAGCAATTGCGAAAACGCCAAGAGGAATTGACAGCCTCTCTGGATTCGCTTAGTGAGCGTGATCCCGAAACAATTCGCAAGTTGAGTAATGTGTTATAGAATTGGATTGATAAATAGAGGATAATGTGAAACAAGCGATCGATGGTGCGAATCGTTGGACAGGTAGGTGTCATTGTGCCGATTCTCAGTTTGCTAGACAACATCTACAGCGTGAAGAGCTTTTTGGTTCGGAAGCAAGGCATGGGAAGCAAGGAAGTGGACCAAGCTTTGGAGATCACCGAAGACTTCGACTCTCTCGAATACCCTGCTTGTCTTCGCAACTAATCCTCGCTGCAATTGGATCTCTTTGCTCCTCATTGATTCATTGATTCATTGATTCATTGATCCATTAGCTGTTTATTCAACAAACAACGCAGACTACAAACACTTAGAACTCCATCGATGCTCCCAGCTTGCCGCACTGGCACTCGCAGCGCGCGCTGCTTCGCCGGCATCTGCACACTCCCGCGTTCGCGGACAGCGCGGCCAGATAGGCAGGTCCGCACGGGCTCTCCACACGTCGCGTGAACGTCACATCGCTCGGCAGCGCGCGCTGCATATCGTCCTGCACCGCTTCGCCGCGCAGCGTGATCGTCAAGACCGCCTTCGCCGCCTCGCTCGGCACCGTATACTCAAACCGAATCACATGACCCTCCGACGAAACCGTCGCGCCCGCCGCCAATCCAGGCAGCTCCACGCCGTCGCTGGCAAACCGCAGAGCGTCCTGCGAGACGATCGTCACGGCCTCGTCGAACGTCAGCGCGAACTGGTACGTCTCTCCCGCGAACAGCGTCTGCGCGGGCTCCGCTCGAAGCAGCGAGGGCGCGGGGATCTCTAGCGTTCACTCCTCGCCGGACGCCTCCTACCCGACGCTGCCTGCACTTCGGCCTCCAGCTCCACGCCGCACCCCACGAACTGCGCCGTGTACGAAGCGCCCAGCTGCAGCTCCGACCGCACCACGAAGGCCAGCGTGTCGTTGCTGACCAGCAGATCGTCCACGCCGTAGTCCTCCTCCGCCAGACGCACCGCGCACCCCACCGGCAGACCCACGCGACCGTCGCACGCGAACCGAACCACGCCGTGGGAGCGAGCCACGATCGGCGTCGCCAGCACGCAGCTCGCCAGCGCGCTGTCTGCGATGGACCCACGCAAACGCCCCTACCTCCGCTCATCTCCCACGCGTCTTGGCGAGACAGACGGAACTCCTCGCTCGCCGCGCCGCTCTCCGCCGAGCGCACGGCGCCTGCGGGCACCCGAAGGACCACCGCGCCCGCGGGCAGCGAGGGGAGACGGAAGCACGCGACGAGGCCCTCGACCCAGAGGAGCGAAACCGACTGATCCGGAGAGGCTGCGTGGAAGGGAAAGGCCAAAACCCACACGAACCGACGAACACTTCGCCGCTCCCCTGAACGACGGGAGCGTCGAACGTCAGCGTTACCAGGTCGTTCGCGCGCACCTCCGACGAGGCCGAAGGCGTCACAAAACTCACGCGCGGAGGCACTTCTACTAGAGCTGAGGAATCGGAGAAACGGGGAACCGGGAGAGGCCAGAGTGTCGAAGAAGACCACTTCGCCCATCTCTTCCAAACGACGCGGACGACCATGCATTTCGCGATACAGCTGCCGAATCAAGCGAGGATTCATCCCCAGAGAAAGATCATCGCTCGCTCCAACGCCCATTTCTTGGAGCATTTCTTGGTGCATCATTCCTTGATTCATCATTCCTCGATGCATCATTCCTCGATTCATCATTCCTCGATTCATCATTCCTCGATTCATCATTCCATGCCGCATTCCAAAGCCCATTCTATTCTTCACTCTCCTTCTCTCCTTTCCTACCCCATTTCGCGGTACAACTCATGTTCCATCATGCACTGCAGTCGATACCCGCTTCCCCGATGCAGGTTCTCCGTTACCACCGTCACTTCCTCCCCCGGGTTCTTTATCTACCCATCACGCTCCCTCCCTTCCGCCACATGAAACCGCTTCGCCAGCCGCGCGAACGCCGCGAGCGACGGCCGTCCAAACCGTCTCCGCTGCGGCAGACACAGCGCATCGCCGGGCGTGTCGCTCTTCACTCGGATCCGCGCGAACGTCGCGAACGGCTCCACGTCCGTGATCGTCAGCCGCGCCGCCGCTTCGCCCGTTTCGAAGCTCCTTCCCGCGGACTGCACCGTGCGGTTCCCCGCGTTCAGCGAGCACTCCACCGTGTACTGCGTCGAGGGCTCCAGGCCGCCAAGCAGAACGCGCGCCTCGCCCGCGTGCCGCACAGGACGGTCCACGAAGGCGGGGCGGATCGACGGCGCGTGGTACGAGCACAGCAGCGTCCCCGGCGCCGTCAGATTCACACGCACCAACGCCGACTCCCCGAACGCGCGCACCGACTTCACCTCCACCCACGGATCTACCCTCAACCGCACTCACCGACACTACCTTGAGAGCGGAACACCACGGGCTGCGACCACGCGCTCAGACCCCCAGCCGTCATCACGTTGACCTCCGCACGCACGCCATCCACCGCAGGGAGCCCGCGGAAATGCGCGTGCGGCTTGTAAGACACCTTCTCGAACAGCACGCGCCCAAGCAGGTCGCTCACGCGCACGTTGAACTTGAGAACGGGCTTGCCCGTCGCTTGGAGGTAGCGCCAACGCATCGACAGAGAGGATCCGTCCACACGGAGGTGGATGTGCTCAGGAGGATCGGGAATGGCTGCCAGATGAAGGCAAAAGGAAACCATTACTCGACTGCTTCAGAGTGACCGGCACGCTCAAGCGAGAGTACGTCTCCTGAACGCCTTTCCCGTTCCCGAAACGCCAAGCGAAGGAATACGTCTTGCCCACAGAGAGACCGCTGATTTTCAGAGGAAGTTTGTACTGCAAATCACACAAACCAAAATCGAACCAACAGCAAACTCCAACTCACGGGAAGAACCGCCTTCCTCCAACACCTCCACGATCACTTTCGATAATTCGTGACCGTTCCCATAGTGATGCATGTGACGGCGACCCAGAGTCACAGAACTCTCGTCGTAAGAAAGAACACGAGGAGCCGGAGCAAGGATGGGCGCTCCCGACGGAGTCACTTTCACCTCCGTAGAAAAAGCAGACTGCACATTATTTACAGTCGCAGCTACACGGATCGCGTACTCCTCACCCGCAAGCAGACCGTCAATAAACGCATAATCACTACTCACCGTCAGCTTGTTCCACATCGTCGGAGCAGGCTGAATATCGAGTGTGTACGAAGAAGCACCTTCCACTCCAACCCAAGAGATGCTAATCGAAGAACCCGATACCAGGTTCACTTTTACATCACGGGGTACTTCAACTACCCCTTAAAAAGCAAATCGAGACACTTACCCGAAACAGCTACGACGAATACACATAAAGCGACGAAAAACTAAATCTAACACCATGAAATTAAAATAACATTCATTTTCATTGTTTCGATTTGATTTCTTGTTGGAAAAGTCAAATCGAACACTCCCCAAATCAGAACCATAACCGCGGATCAGGCTTCAACTCATTTCATCCTTTCACTGATGATATAGATAAATCTAGGTTGCTGTACAGAATGTAGTAAACACCATCCACAAATACTCATACAAAGAATCAACTTGAAAACCACTCTTCTATTCTTACTCACACATATGTACTTTGAGAACAATTTCATGCTTATTCAAACTCTACTTTTTCATTTTTTCTGTTACCATGTCTGAAGTCGATTTTTCGTCTCTGCCTATATCGAAAATGCGCAGTACTTTAAAGTCCCTTGGATTATCGGGAGCAGGAACGAAGGCGAGCCTGGTTGAGCGTTACCAAGCGTATCAAAATGGCGAGATTGTAGCAGATCAGACGGAAAAGGAAGGAGAAATTGAATATGCCGATGGTGATCAAGAGCAAAGTGAAATCCCTCAAGCTGAAGTGGATGCAACTATGGAAAGTAAAAATGGATTTAGGAGGATGATTATTTTAGATCAAGATGATAAAATCGCTGGTGGAAGTCTTTCTGATGAAAACAAGGTTGGGGAGCTTCTATTGAATGAAGAAGTTCATCCAGAAGACGCTGTGGTAGATTCCGTTCCACAGGAAAATGATACGACTCAAACCGAGGTAGTGGATGGACTTTCGTCTCCAGTTCGGTCAGCAGCAGAGAGTGGATATAATGAAATGCAATCTATCGAAAACACAGAGGCTACGTGCACTTCTGCGGTTGGTGGTGAAGGTCCTGAAGCGATCGAAGGTGGTAAAGCTCCAATCAATGGTTCTGGAGTTTCCCCAGATAGGGCTGAGTCATTGGACATCGAGGCCGAGCTGGACAAGCGAGAGGCTCGCAGCAAGAAATTCGGGACTTCTTTCGATCGTGAATCGTGTCGCCAGCAGCTGCTTCGAGTTTATTCCACTGCACAAGTTGGATCTACCCACAATAGTGATAATAATGACAATAACAATAACGTTGGATTACTCCACAAAATTGACACGTAGCGTGCGAAACTACTTTCAGAACGTCGAGCCAAGTTCGGAATAGTGGAAAGCAATCAATCACTGGGTCGAAGACAAGGCCGTTCTGGACAGGGAATGAATTCTGTCTCAGAAGAACTGCGTGCTGAGCGACAGAAAAAGTTCGGAATGGTGGAGAAGTCCTTCCCTGTGCGTCAACGCGGAGAGAAGCGATATCAATCCAGATATAGAAACCAAAAGAATCGCCGATACATGTAAAGTGCATTGTTTTTTACATACCATTCTATCATCAAACACACAAGCAATTAAGACCATGGAATGATTCATTGATAGGAAAATAGTTCTTTTGCAAAAAATAAGCGTTGCTATTTGTTCAGTAGTCGTCCCAATTTATATAGATTATTTTCAATCTATTCTATTACTCAATCTATCGATATAATCTACAATCTATATTCTTCAGGTTTCATCGTATTCATGGGAATGATTGCCCATCAATTTCGAACCCTCATAACACCCTTCATTTGAAACTTATGAGTATATTTTAATTACATTAGAAATGTTTCGTGATTAGCGAGCAATGAGTTATTAAAGTGTAATAATGCTCCAGAATCTTTAGGTCAGTAATCTATATAGTTTGGCTTGGTTATTCGTGTTCAAATTTGTTTCAATGTGATAGAAAAGCTTGGTTCTATTGATCGAGAAGCCTGTGGAATCGGAATGAATCTGTAAGGAAGGATTTTTACAGTATCACTACTAATGCTACTACTCTGGCCAAAGCCACTGCTTCTCAACAGGGATTGAAACAACACTATAATTTGAGTCACAGTGTGTATATGAATGATAGAAGCCATAGTTACTTAGAATTAGGATTTTACAACAGGCAATACAAAGGATCAGGGATTTCATCATTCATTCATTCATTCATGCATGCATTCTATTGGAATAAGTGGAATTAGAATGACAATTGATTCAAAGACCGATATTATTCGTATTATGATAACTTTGTGTTAGTATAAAGTCCAGAATAGATTGAATTGAAGAACTAAACCTACCCATCTTGATCAGAAAGCTTGTTGAACATAATAGACTTTACTATCCTCATTAGAAATTAAGGATTCTACAAGTAAACATCATGAATGGATGAATAGTCACAAATACGAAAGCCATAACACTGTAAGTAATGGAGGCAGATATCTCCGTTGATGGCTATTATACTCTTGTTGAATCTGTAGTTAGTAATATTACTATTACTATTATTTTTACTATTGTCATTTGTAAAATCATCACTTTCATTACAATAAAGGCCGCTATATAAAACAAAAGTACAATAACAAAGAATGGGTTGGGTTTTGTATATTTCAAAATGAAAATAAACACGATAACCTTTGAAAGAATAAACAGGGCAACTCCAATCCAAGATTTCACTCGATTTCAAAACGGATTTGCTTGAAATGACGAGTCATGTGAAAAACGGACGAAACGAAGCTTTAATCAGATTGTAAACCATGTTAATGGAAAGCGGAAGAAATCGATTCTCATATTGTTAGAAAGTTGCATTACCTGGGAGAATTCAATGAAAAGCGAGAATGAGGAGAATAGTAATTCAATAATAATAAGAAAAAACGGATAGAACGCTGATCAAAGGAATCTGGTAGAATTACATACTTGAGGACAACGTTCACAATTGAAGGAACCATTATGATTGAGTTGATAAGAAATGGAGACAAATTCATAGTTTCGAATTGAATTTCTATCTATGGAGAAGAATTCGATTATGATGGATAGAAAGGATTGATTAATTGAAATGGTCGAGGATACTGGATCGATGAAGAAACTCGGATTGTTACTCGCGAAGTGGAATGGAAAGATGGAGTGGAAGTGAATGGAAGAGATCTGTATGATGGATGGCATATTCATTCACTCACTCACTCAATATTACTTGTTTATTTAATACTATTGCTATGTTAATCACATTGCATTTCACATTGTTTTGTTGATCAAATAGAAAGCAAGGTTTTCATTCATAGGATTCATGGATTCCATCCATTATCATATTATCCAATCGATTGTTTTGTTTAATGATACTATGATTCCTATTCACCATTTCAATCTATGAACCACAATCCTTTCTCTGCAATATCATTCTTTGTACTCAATATGGATGGTCATTGTGACAGAAGAGAATCGAAGTATCAACAGAGAATCAATACAATAAACCACTTGTCAAATAGAAATGATGGATTTTGCATTCTACATACTACTGCCATACTCTCTATTACGAATCTAACCATTCCAACAGTATTCACTATTGTGAGTTCGATTGTTGCAAAACAAGATTAACTACCACATAATTGATATATTTTGAAGAACATATATCCATTGTAGACTTAATAGAACAGCCATTCTGACATGAAAGAGTAAAGGTGATCAAAATACGTAATAATTTACAATTATAGCTATAAGTATCTGAAAATAACACAATAATAAATGAATAGATAGAAATACACCGAAATAAAGAAAAAAAGAAATGGGTAGAGAAAATGAGATTTTATTATATGTATTCTAGTTTGTAACACACCAGTATATCAAAGCCATACACAATAATCCATAACGTGTGTTCTATCGAGAAATAATGAAACAGATCTTGTTTCCAAAATAACCGTTTTACCATATTTCTTTTCATTTCCATGCAAAAGTTTGCTGATTTTGTCAATTCTACTATTAATAACTATCATATTGATAGTTCCATTATTCAAAGTGTGCAGGGATGCTTGGGTAAAGAATGGAAACCAAATGGCTGGATTTCACTAATATTGAGTAACAGAGAATTTGTAGTATTGCAATTCAATAATGGAATATTCATGAATCAAGGATTTGTGGTCAATGATGAGAAAGTGTTGAAAGTGTTTGGAAATCATCAAATTGGTGCTATTTCATATAGTGAAGAACAATCCATTGTAGTGGAAGAAGGAATCGTGGATTTGGATCATGGAAGTCGATTTGAAGGATTGATATTGACAGAAAACAAGTTTGGAATTCCATTTGGATATGGTGAAATGTATGATGATGATGGAATATTGGTGTACAAGGGCATAATGATCAATTGGAAACGATTTGGATATGGAACGAGTTATCATAATAATGGTTTGATTGAATATGAAGGATATTGGTGTGATGATAATCGATTTGGAATTGGAAAAGTCTATGATCGATCAGGTATATTAGTGAATGAATGTGAATGGTATAATGGAATTGAATGTGATACTGATTATGAAGGAAATGGAAGCAAACCACTGAATATCGGAATGAAACATTTGAAACTGATTGACAATTGTGTATTGGTTGATTGGGATGTTTCATTGTTGAATAATTTGGAATCAATCGAAATCGGCGATGAATGTTTTGGATCAGTGAAAACATTCCAAATCGATGGATTGAATCGATTGAAAACTATCAAAATCGGAAACAATTCATTTACTCAGAATTATTATGGTAATAATGCATCGAAATCATTCCACATATTGAATTGTGAATCATTGGAATCCATTCAAATTGGTGAATATAGTTTCAGTGATTTTGGAGGCGACTTTGAATTGAAGAATCTACCACAATTACAATCCATTCAAATTGGTACAATTGGAAGTTATTCAGTCAATTTCTGTTATAGTTCATTTGTGATTCGAGGTATTGATATGATATTGAATATTTGAATGATGCATAGATCTTCCAAATCTACAATCCATTACATTAGGTGAGAGGGCATACTATAAGTCCTTGACAACAATAATTGAAAGTATTGAATGAATGTGAATGAAATGATTGATGTAGATCTTCCATCATTACAATCCATTCAACTCGGTTTTGCTGCACTTGAAGGAACAAGGGATTATTCAAGTTCATTGATAATGCGAAGTAATAATGAATTGATTGGTTATGATTTGTTTTGTAGATCTTCCAAATCTAACATCAATAACTTCTGAAGGATCTAGTTTCGAATATCCTCGTTCAGTGACATTGGAAAGTATTTCTGCATATTGAATATTGATAGTATTTAGATATTCCAAATCTTCAAAATGTCAAGCTATTTAGTTATCAGAGGGATCGTCCATTCAGGTGTGTTCGATCGAAATCAATTTCGAGTATAGTTTGATTGATTTGATTTGATTCATAGATGTTTCTTCGATTCTCGCTGATCTTGTCGAAATCTATGATTAAATCTATAATTTTGATTTGATTTGATTTGTTCAGTGATTCGTCATTGTTTAGGAACATTTCCATTGATTGATTGATTGTTTGTTTGAAACCGATTCTTGATCACAATTCATGATTCTATAATAATCAAAATATCAATCCTACCTGATTATTATGATGTTCTTCTTTACCATTTTAACAATGATACTCAATTATGATTGTTGTTTCAATCAATCAATCAATCAATCATTTTTTATGATCATTATCATCATTATTATCATTATTACCAATGAGCCAATGATCACATATTGAACATTTACAAATGATGAATCCAATCTACCAATAATAATAATAATAATACAAATGATGGTTTGAATAGGTTTGAACTAGGATTTGTTCAATATTGATAGGAAACTGCTTGCTTCGAATAATCATAATCATGAATAATAAGATTGGATTTGATAGTGACACAATGGAATAGTTGGAATCGATTGATATTGGATGATTATTCACATTTGTGAATCCATTGTTAAATCGGTAGATAATACAATACAATACAATACAATACAATGATTGATATTGATTTATTGAATAGGAATCGATCACTGTATATATAGAATAGAATAGAATAGAATAGAATAGAATAGAATCAAATAGAGGTGAAATGGATAAAACAAGGTAATGAAACTAGAATAGAATAGAATAGAATCCGATTGAATAGCATTGGAAATCATATTGGATTCACCATTCAATCAATCCAACTATCATTTGTTTGTTTGTTTATCAATGAGTCACAAAACATGGATTTATCAATTTGATAATAATGGAGTCAAATCGGATGTGTTTGATACTTGATAGTTGTAGTTAGTAGTAATATCAATCGTGGTTTCACAATTCGATATTTGGATGGAATGTCGTATTCTTCAATATCACACAAACCATTCACTCATTCGCTCACTCACTCACTCATTCACTCAATCAATCAATCAATGGATCAAGGATAGCTGATTCAAAATGCAAATGAATGTTGAATATCGTAAAGAATCAATTCATCATTCACACTCAATAAT